CAACATAAATGATCTAAGTGTAAATAAATATGGTCATTTTCTACTTGCTAAGTATAGAACCAGGTTACACAAGCCTTCAGACTTGTTTTATGCAATGGTGTGTATGACTGTGCTAATACTGGTGGCAGCTGGAAACTGACTTTTGGCATGGGGACCAAGCTGACAGTTTTGCCTAGTAAGTAAATAATGTACTTCAATATAACAAGAGTATCTACATATTTGGAGTGGATATAAGAGTGGATTAATAGTTAGTACCTATGCCTTGCAACAATGGGGTCCTTGCTTAAAAATCCCAGTCAGGACACTATCTGCATGTAGTTTGACTGTTCTGCTGGCACTAGCTAGGGTTTCCTCTGAATACTCCAGTTTATGCTAGAAGTTTAATTAGTTATTGTCTAAATTGGCTCTGGTATGTGGGTGCAGGTCTAAAAATCCCAAAATGCAGCCTCGAATGGCAGACCTTGGCATACTCTGTTCAGTTGTTAATGCAGCTCTGGTATGCATTTTAGGCAGAATCCTCAGAAAAACGTAGGGTTCCAAGGTTGGAAATTCATCAAAGATTGCAATGAGGTCATGGTAGCAGGGATAGGCTGTAGATTACTAATTTGTAACCATTTTCAAGAATGTTCAGTTTGATGCTATAAAGTAGTTTTTTTACCTTATCCAAGGTTCAAACATGTCAAACATCCAATCAGTTTTAGCTGAAATTTCTTCTCAATTCCCCAGACTTTTGATTGTATTGAAATTGGTCTTATAACAAATTAACCTCTTTTCATTTTTAGATTCAGCAGTAAGGAACTTTCCTTGTGTTCCCTTTTGTTACTGCCCATTTTAGTGGACTAAAGACTGTATATCAAACACTGAATAGTGTTTTATATGTAATGTTAAGACAGCAGAAGTAAACAAGTAAAAGGTTCATTAATTGATCATCCAGTTATCCATTTTAGTGTGTTTTATGCTTATGGTGTTTATTTATTTGAAGGCTAATGCATATTGATTGACCACTGATTTTATTAAATATATTTTTGAAGTTGCATAGCGTTGAACATTCACACTGAGATGATATTAAGTGTTCACTGATGGCAAATGTACAGTAAAGGAAACTTGTCATGAAAGAAATTGCTATTCTAGCTTTTTATGATCAAATAAAGTATTAGGATTGAGAGGTACAAATTCCTTATAAACAATCAAGACTGCAAATACATTTTTTGTATATATATATATATATCTATATCTTTACTTGTAAATCTGCACTAAGATAGAACTTTAGCTTTGGCTCTAGCACATATGGTATAAGAATGTATCACTGTGATACTGGAACTTATGGAAAACTGTTATTTGGCTCTGGAACAAAACTGATAGTTAAACCTGGTAAGTGTTTTAATAAGAAGATCACAACATTATTATCTAAAGATTAAGAATTATTTTATCTCAGCTCAAGCTAAATGACAAGTAAGTAAGCGAATGTATAAGAGACAAGCACATACTTTCATCATGGCTTTAACATGGCCTTTTCTGCCTCAACAACGCAATAGTATACATTTTTCAACAAACAACAAATTTATATCATTATGATCAACTTGATCTATTTAATGGTAACCATACCTTTTGCTATTTTAATGTTATTGATGCATGTCAAAATCAGAAAAGCAATTGCTTGAATAAAATAACTGGATTTTAATTCAAACTGGTGAAAAAGGGGGAGTAACAGGAAATTTGCTATTTTGATTTAATAATAGGTTATTTATGTCTATTTCTAGGAAGCTTAAAAATCAATAAACAGATATTTATTATTGCCAGACTAGATTACAAAGCAAATAGTGTTTTGAGATGGCAGAAAACATTTGTTAATATTTAGATCCTCCCTTGTGTTTGTTCCTGTAAACCCCAAGGTTGGTCTATTTATAAAGGTTTTCACACAAGACTTCTACAGCCGCCTCCCATTTTTCTAATTGGATTCAAGTGGAATCAATTGGAATCCTTAGAGAAAGTTGTGTTAAAAGATTAATAAATAGAAGTGTTGTTTGTGTAGAGATTTTATTTGAATAATATTGGATTCAAATCTGTAACTAAGCTAACTGTGCTGATTGAAAGTAACTAACTAATATTGAACCAGTGATATGATAGTTAAGGTATGGAAACCAAGTGATGTTTACATATTTGTATGCTTGATGTACAGGATTTAGAAGTAGTGGAGCTAATTATACAGCATATAAATAGTAGCATTCATTTTAGTGGCACGGCTGTAAGAATAGCACCACATCTGTGGCTTTGAGTCTGTAAATGTTAAATTGAATGGTAATTAAACTTTTAAAGTGTATCTTAACCCAAAACTTTCTTTTTAGGGTTGGATAGAATTGGGAAGAGTTAGAACTGCTGTCAGGTTTTTATTGCTGTTTGTTTTACTGATGGGGAAATGAAATCCTATGTGTACAGGTGACCATTTTTACCCAGACAGTAAGTATTGCAAAATCAAAAATAAAGTTACCACCAAAACAAGAGGTGAAGGTGAATTTTGCAATAGGGACACTTTTTCCAATGACAACTGTCTAAGCATTGATTTCTCCTCACTTTGGAGGTATCATTCAGACTTTGTATTGTGTTTACAGGACAGGAAGTGAAAGTAAATCTCACCAATGGGATCAAGGAAAACAACTGACAGGGTTTTTAGCATTCATTATTCAATCCAAAATTAAGATTTAAAAAAAAAATTACCTTAGATATACATTAACATGCCCATAAACAGGCTGATTATTGGCAAATAAAGTAAAAAGTTAGAGCTAATATGCCATTTGGTTACTTTATAAACTGTAGGTATGTGTACATCATGTACACATACCTATACCTACCTATAACATCAGCTAGCTATTGATTAAAACAGATGTTGTGGTTTCTGGTTTCAGTTTTCCATAATGCTGGGTCACCCTAATACTAATAAATAAAAGCAAAAGAGGGTATATCATATCTAGTCCTAGGGGCACCAAAGTTTATAGCCATGCATTTCAGCTCTAAGGTACTGCTAATTGCCAGCATTTTATAAAAAGAGGAAGGAACTCTCAAGGTATTTGTCAGGATGCATATCAGTGTGTGAATAATGCTGGCAGCAAACTAATATTTGGAACAGGGACCGTGTTGACAGTCATGCTTAGTAAGTAATCTGCCATGTGTTTATTCAACATTTTCAAAGTAAAACTACTTTATGTGCACATTAGTTAAAGTAAAAGAAAAAATTTATTTTGAGAACACTAGAATTCTTTTTTCTGTCTGTTGCTTTAGACATATGTTTTGTTTACATTTGTATTTGGGTTTCAGGGATCATTTTGAGATCTGGATTTAAAATAATACTAATATAGCTAATTGTTATGATAACTTAAAAAAAATGGAATGCAAAATATTTTCTGAGCATTTGAAATTATGTAAAGGTATGTCCATCAATCAGCCAATTTCATGCAAAGCATGATTTTTTTTTTCAAATTCCCACATAGGATATTCAAAGTGAATATTGCTTAACTTCATTAATTTAGTTATTTACTTTTCTTATTGAACATTCTTTATCCCTTTTAAAAATCACCCCCAATATTTGCAACCAGAGACACAACGTATGTACTTGGGTCATTGTAAACAGTAGGTATAGCAGTACCTACATAAATTATATGAAACATAAGACATGTTGAAAATTACCGGTTTCATCACAATCAACCCACAGTCATGTTATGACTATTAAATACAAGCATGTGTTAAATAAGAAAACATGGGCCATAGACATCCAGTATGGTTAAGGGAAAACATAGATAGTTAAATTCTGGCAAAGCAAATAGCACTTATTATGTTATACTGTCTTTAGTGTCTAAATCTAGATATAGACTTTAAATTGTGGCCATTAATCCCCTAGCCTTACCTTGATGGAAGCAATATAGGTCAGGTGAAAAATTCCATCTCGGCTGACTTATTTTTCTGAATGTCTCCCATGATTGTCTACCTCTCCCCATGCACACAAGGCTTGTAGCGTATTTAAAATGAACCAAATAGTCAACCAATCAAACAACTATCAATTTTAGTTCATTTCTTACATTAAAAGTAAAATTCCCTTTTGAGTATTAAACCTTTGAAACTAGAGAAGGCATCTACTGTAAAATTAAAGTAATCTATTAAAGAAATGAAAAGCACTCTAGTCTCTAGCAGCTGTAGTACTACATGCATATAATATCATATATTATAATATAATATAATACAAACATATCCAAAATCTATTTTACAAAATGACGTGCCAATCATTTCCTTTTTATCTAACAACAATCTGTAGCTTAAGTGTAATGGCATTTATCACTGTGCAAATACTGGTGGATGGAAAATGATATTCGGCTCAGGGACCAAGCTAAATATCAAAGCTAGTAAGTTAATATACATATATTTCCATACATTTTATTACATACCTGTTTCTGCTGCAAATTTGTATTCAATTTTTACTGTTTAGATGAATAGAATACACATTATAATATAAATAACAATAGACCTAACAGTGGGGACAGTGGTAATAATTATAATGATAATACAAAAATAATATTGCATCCTATATTAAAAATAAATAGAAAAAAGGTTTGGATTGTCTCTCAAAGCATTCCTTGTTATTGTACATGCATGTTATTTACGTTGCTACACGTTAAACTGTCATAGTGATTGATGCTGATAACAGTGGTTTAAATTCCCAGGATCAGAACATCCCCATATATCCTCTAGTTATCAGACTGGAGATCATTAGTTGTGAAAACGATATCCTCTGTAAATGGATGATTAAACTTATTAAGGATCATGTCATCACTACCTCATGCAACTTCAAAGCTTAAACAAAATATATATTTTCTTATTTATCTCTAAGTTAAAACTTTTTTTAGTTTTAGATAGAGTGGGGAAGGGTTTGACCATCAGTCAAGTTTGTATTGATGTCTGTATTTCCATTGATGATATTCTAGCCTCTACTTGTACTGGTGACCATTATCACCATGACGGAAAATGGTGGTAAAATCCAAAATTTTACAGCTGTCCGCAGAGAAGAAGGTGAGGGGAAATCTTCCAATAGGGACACCTGTTGTGGCGATAGCTGTTTAAGAGAAGAATTCCTCTCAGTTTGGGAGATTTCTTCTAACTTCCTGTTGCATATATAGGACAGAAAGTGAAGGAAGATCTCCCCAATGGGGCACAGGTAGTGAATAAAAATAAAGTGGCAGGGGTTTTAACCCTTTCCTTCCTTATCTAAAACTGAAAAAATGGCTATACGTACATGTAAAATAGCAATGGAGGCTCGTGAATATCAAATATTAATTAATGACAAGAACAAATTGCAAGGTTATTAAAAATGTTGGGGATCAGTTTCTGGTGAACTTTTTATACAGATAAGAATGCTTTTTTTCATCTGGCAGAAATGGGTCAGTTTTGGGTTAGTTTTCAGCTTAGAAATTGTACTATGCTTAAGACATAGCCATACTACTATCCAGCCAAATCTCCAGGGTGGGTGGTATACTCATCCCCCATTGAAAGTCTAATACAAAGTTATCAGAAAGTATCAATTGAATGAAAAAAAGTAACACAGTAATGTAAATTTCAAATTCCTACTCATCACAGTTGAAAATCAGACGTAGAAAGGAATCAGCTTAAGATTTACATTGATGGTCTGTACAGGTAAATGATACAGAATCTATCACTGTGTGAATTTGGTGGTTACAAACTGACATTTGGATCAGGAACTAAAGTGACTGTGCAACCAAGTAAGTTTTAAAAACTAATATTGGACTAAAGCTATTGTAGCTATGTTTAAAATTCTATGTCCACCAAAATAATATACTGGCTGCAAAATGACAGTACATGAGTATTATGCAGAAACCAATAGATAGTTAACTAAAGCTATTAAAAGAAAATGTCAAGCATGAAGCATCCAACATGGATATGCAGCTTATACTTATGTAGACACTCTGAGAAGAACAGCTAACTCATATCATTACAGAGGGAAGTCATTCAAGAATGGCATTAAGGCACTTTAAAAGTTATTTTCTTATATATAAACTAGTTCACACAAAATGAGTTATCTATAAGAACTAGCATCACGACTTTTAGAGATAACAGATCAGAAAGATGTCTTTCATGTAATTATATTCATAAAATGGTATTTATTGACATAACATACATGTATAACATGGCTGGTCATAGGTTATTAACTGAATACATTTATAAATCCCATTATAAGATCTGATCATTGGAATCCTTATCTCATGATTATTGAATCATATTGAAGAACAATACAGAGATCAAATAACAACTTCCCAGACAGATTAAAGTGGTCATTTTGAACTCATGACCTAACATCCTGAAAGGATATCAGATATTAATCAGACTAGAGAAAAGTTCATACACAGGCTGATTATGAGCAGATTAGATCTATAAAAAAAATCCAACCTGCAGGTAATTGCCCCATTCAAAGGTAGGTTAATATCCTATATGGGTTTATTGTCATGAGTTGTTTCACTGTGATAATACATATGGGTCAAAGATGACATTTGGATCAGGAACCAAACTCCTGGTTAAGCCCAGTAAGTAATGAGCACAAAATAGTGTTTTACAGAAATATTTCAAAAGAAAAAAAGTTACATTGTTTAGGGAAAATGTCAGAAAAAGAAATAGTTGAAAATCTAGTCTTCAATTAATTTTTATTTTAATTTGTTTAGAACTAATTCACACTACACCTAGTGAAACGTATGTGAAAGTAGCTAAGGACCTGCATTATAAACCAACCTGTGGATACCGGTTTAGGTCATAAGTATTTCATAAATTATATATTGTATGGAATTTGTTTGATGCTTGGTTTTGATCTCTTCTTGACCAGTTTCCTTTGCTGTACCTGTATCAAAAACCTGTTCATTTAGATTTTTAGATAATATTGCAAAACCTTAAATCGGTCATCATACTAGCATATGTTTTAAACCTTCTACCTTTTACATAATAAATCTAGAGCTTGGCAAGCATGGAACCAGCTAATTTTCAAAACTGGAACATGACTTTTGATAAGGAAATCTGAAAAAAAAATTATGTTATCTATAAATGATTATTAGATGAAATTATAATTATTGATCTATCACTGCAATGATTACATAAGGGTAAGTTGGGAAAGTTTTAATGGGAGTGGTAGCTTAACAACACAGTGATTTCATATACATAATTTAATATACATTGCTAGTTAAACTGTTATTCAACAATTTGACAAGAACCATAATGTAACCATAATTTGATGAGACTGCTTGAACTGTGCTTTAGATAAGGCTTGTGAATTACCATTCAATTAAAATGTTTAATCTGGTTAGACAGTAATGACCAGTGGGGAAAGCTAACTATGGGAAGAAATATTTCTCCTGCCCTGCTATCAAGTTTGACAATCTGGGAGTGTGTCAAAATAGAGTTATTGCTCCCCTTACCAGGAGGTACCAAGTATGGAAATTGTGGCACATTATCCAGATGAGATGATACTGCTTGAGCTCAGGATTAGGGTTAGGAAATTCCTTGGAATGACCAGAAATATATTGACCCTCAACCCAGACTAGGAGAAATCAGGCCTAATGAGTTTACTTTCCCCACATCTTCCAATAGAACAAGCAGTTTAGAAATAGATAGATGGATGGAGGAGGGGATGGATGGAATGATGCATGGATTGATGGATAGATGGAAGTGGAATATCACTGCAATGTTAATGAGACAGAACAATTATTCTGTTAGACATGTATGCCCACAATATATTAGTTTTTTGTGACATTAGCACAAACTAAAATACAGTACTGCTCAATTCCATCACAATACTAAGTTGGGCATTTTGAAGAAAACCTTTGGAAAAAACAACTAATTTGATGCACAATCATTTGCAAAAGCAAATTAATATTCTTTTAACAAATAGGTCTTTGACTAATGGTTAGTGGATGGCAGTTCCTGCTACACCATCTATCACTGTGTTAATGTTAATGATAAACTAATATTTGGAAAGGGCACTAAACTAATAGTAAAGCCAGGTAAGTTTCCATCTTAACTGATACTGATTCTTTCTAATAGTGAAAATATGATTATAAAAAAGTTGTAGATATATGTTCGATTAAAATGATTTTATCCTGTTTCTAAATGCTTACAATGTTTTCAATATTGATAATAAATAAATGTGTGACAATCAATAATCAAGAAGCATGTGTATTAAAATAATAAATGTCAAAAGCCAAGTAGCCAATGCCCCAGATAATGTTCATATATGATTTCAATGAAAACCAGTTGTTTCCTTAAATGTTCCAGCGGGCTTCTAGGTTAGACTGACCTGCTAAAAAATCCTAAAATATTTTTTTCACCTCTGCATCTGCGAAGAACATATCAAATGCATTCAATAGAGGTTAACATAATATTGTATTAGTGTTTAACACTGTGTATGATAGTGCAGGATATGGAAAAATGATATTTGGCTTAGGAACAAAGCTGACGATTAATCCAGGTATTTAAACATCACAATAGCTCTCTCACTGTACTAACTCTAGCTCTGTACTAAATGAATTAATACCTATAAAACACGCTTTCAAAAACTTGTTTATTTAGATTTTTAGATAATATTGCAAAACCTTAAATCAGTCATCATACTAGCATATGTTTAAAACCTTCTACCTTTTACATCATAAATTAGCATCAACAGACTAACCCTGATCAGTAACCTGGTTTTAGTCCTACTGGAAATTACCTATTTTTGCAGAGGTATTTAGAGCTTGGTGAACGTGGAGCCAGCTAATGATTGGAACTGGAACATTATTATTAATAATAAGGACATTTGGGAAAAATATGTTATCTGTAATAGATTATAAGATGAAAATATAATTATTGATCTATCACTGTAATGATTACCTAAGGGTAGGTTGGGAAAGCTTCAATGGGAATGGTAGCTTAACAAAACAGTGATTTAATATATACATTGCTAGTTAAACTGTTATTCAACAATTTAGCATGCACCATATTATAAGTACCTATTTGCCTACATAAGTGGTCTAGATTTAGAAATGTTAAATGTGATGAGACTGATTTAACTAGGCTTATATGAGACTTCTGATTTACCAGTCAATTTAGATTTTTAACCTGGTTAGGCAGTAATGACCAGTGGGGAAAGCTAACTATTGGAAGAAATGTTTCTCCAGCCCTGCTACAAGTTTGACAATCTGGGAGTGTGCCAAAATAGAGTTAACGCTCCCCTTACCAAGAGATACCAAGTATGGTAATTTTGCCACATTATCCAGATGAGATGATACTGCTTGAGCTTGACAAAGCAAATCAAGCTGCGAGTAAACTCTATGACAAGTCCACAGAAAAGTGTGTGTGTTGGGGGGGG